AATAATTACAGAGTATGCAAAATAAGATTACATTTAACAGACGCTTTTATCCAAAGTGACTTACAAATGAGGATAAGGAAGCAATTTACACAACTATAAGAGCAACAATGAATAAGCACTGTAGGCAAGTTTCAGGTATGTAAAGAAAGTGTAAAAAGCACAACATTAGTAATTTTTTTTTTTTTGTAGTTAGTGGAGGAGTCAGAAAGGGAATTGCATATTAGTAAGGAAAGTGGAGACTAAATAGTAGACTTTTTAGTTGTTTTTTTTTGAAGACAGCGAGTGACTCTGCCGTTCTGATGCAGTTAGGGAGTTCATTCCACCAATTGGGCAGATTGAGTGCGAGAGTTCGGGAAAGTGATTTCTTCCCTCTTTGGGATAGAACCACGAGGTGACATTCTAGTCAGGTAAATGTGTATCATGCCAATTCATTCAGTCAATTCATAAACGTTCAATACAAACTCAAGTTATCAAAGATAAAACCAAGATTAAAAGATGCATACCTGACTTCAAAATATACATAAGATGGAACATGAAGTTCCACGTTATGGGCTGATCTGGGTAACAAAATGGCATGACTGGGTATCACAAAAACAAGGGAGAGTTCCAAGTGCATCAAAACACATTTATTTTCAAACAATAAAGATCCAAAAAATGACAAAGGGACAGGCAAGGTACCAAAATCGACGAAAAAGTAAAGTACAAAAATTTGGCAAAAGCGTGAATCAAACAAAAACTAAACAGGAATCCAAAAACATAGTAAGTATACTAAACAAAGTGAACAAACAACCCAAACACGATGAACCAGACCACAAATAAAGCAGGGCAGAACATTGAAAATCAAAAGGCATACTAAACACAGCATAACAGGGCTTATAAAAACAGAAAAAATTGGACAGAGAGGGACAGCTAGAAACAAGGAGAGATCACATAACTAGGATACAAAACCCAAAAAACTAAACAAAAACTGTTGCCCTTGAAGACCATAAGAGGGCACTGCAGCAGGTGTGACGCAGAATTGCGACAAACATTTAGAAACTTCCCCTTAAGTATTATTTCCAAGAATTGCCTCGAGGAAAGAGGTGTGTTAAAAAAACAAAAGAAATTTGCATATAGTGGAAGAGTTTCGGGCACACCCTTCGCAGTGATTCAAAAGATGCCTGAAGTTATTGATCTATTGTTTTGATTGTCTATTTCTGAGGGAATGAGACTATTGTACCAGTCACACTGAGACATTTCAAATAACATTTTCAAAAATGATAGATAAAGTCACTTGGATTGATATAGAACACTCATATTTTGAAATGACCATTCTGTGTGAGTTGAGTAAAAAGGGGCTTAGAGACTGGAGAGGTAAGCGTGATCGAACACCCAATAAGGGGGGAAAGCATGCTAGGAGCCCGACGGCTAATCTGCGGGTCAATTAGAAATGATAAATAACACCTGTCTTTCTAGTGATTGGGCCGGAGACACACACACACACACACACACACACACACACACACACACACACACACACACACACACACACACACACACACACACACACACACACACACACACAACGATACATGTGTGGTGGCATTTAACCATAAATAAAATATTTGCTTACCTGAATCGCCGACCCTGTCTTCTTCTTCCCTCAACAACGAACATTATTACAGTGACCATCTGGGTTTCGGGAGATGTTTCAAATGTAAATGGAGGAAAGGAGGGGAGCTGTTTTTTTCCTGCTGGGTTGTGGAGCCGATTGTCTCTGTGTTTTTAGCTCATGTTTGAATTGTCAGACATCAAAATATTTGTGATATCTCAAGTAGTAGTATATTTTAATGGTCACACTCTCTCTTATCTCCGTATGCACCACACACTTTGCAAGACAAAGGACCTGTGGACACACTTTCTCTTCTCCATGCTTGAAAAAAACTCGTAGATTTAGTAACTTCTGGCTGACATACAATATGCAGAGAATTGATAGTCCTTTCTGCTAAGGGGTTACACCAGTGGTTACACCAGTTTCAACCCTTCTTAAAGCCAACACAGACAGAAACTGAGCTGTAAACCTAGTTTATTTAAATTACTGGACGCATACATTTATAGACTCTATTCTACATGTGACTTAACATTTTACATCTGGTTTGCAGAATAAATGCATGAGTGGACAAATGTTTACCTATTTTTTAAAATCCCTAATTTTTACCTATTTCATCTAAGGTCAAAAATGGTTCAAGCCCCGGCTGGTTCAGTTGGCATTTTCTGTGGAGTTTTGCATGTTCTCCCCAAGTTGGCATGGGTTTACGGTTGCTCAGGTTTCCACCACAGTCCAAAGACATGCGGTATAGGTGAATTGAATAAACAAAATTGTCCTTAGTGTATATGTGGGTGCAAATGCAAGAGTGAATGGGTGTTTTCCAGTGCTGCATTGTGGCTGGAAGGGCATCGGTTGAGTAAATCATACGCTGGATAAGTTGACAGTTCATTCCCTTCTGGCGACCCCTGATTAATGAAGTGACTAAGCCAAAAAAAATTATGAATGAATTATATGCCATATGAATCAAGGAAACTGAATCCTTGGAAACATAAGTCTGCTGCAGTGTGTGCAGGTGTGTGGGAGCCAAATGAAGAGGAAATATTACTTAAAAGTTTTCTTTTTCTTAGGTATGCTACTGTGTGTTCATTAGCATTTTATTTAAGCAAACCTGTTTTTTATTAATGTAAGAAAAATAATGCTTTCTCATGCTGGTGGAGTAAATATCTGTGATGAAAACAACTAAAGGCTGCAAAGTGGCGCAGTGAGTAGCAAGTTCACCTGACAGCAAGAAGGTCACTGGTTCCAGTCTAGGCTGGGTCAGTTGCCGTTTTTGTGTAGAGTTTGCATGTTCTCCCAGTGTTTGCGTGGGTTTCAGGTGAATTGGGTAAGCTAAATTGTTTGTAGTGTATGAGTGTGAATGAGTGTGTATGGATGTTTCTCAGTGATGGGTTGCAGCTGGAAGGGCATCCACTGCGTGGAACATGTGCTGGATAAGTTAGCGGTTCATTCCACTGTGGCGATCCCAGATTAATAAAGGGGTCTAAGCCAAAAAGAAAATGAATGAATGAATGAAAAACAACTGACATGCGAATAAAACTATTTATTTTTGCTACAACAGATGAGGCATGATACATACATAGAAACATTGCTGTTGGACTGAAGGATGTAATGTGATGAATGCATTTCAAAAATGGAATGTGACTTGCTGAGTTTTTTTTTTTGTTGCTTTGTTTTAATATCTGTATTGTGTAGCAACCAAGCGCGTAGGTTTGCACTTGACATTGGTGGAGACTGGGGATGAGTGAATACAATCCCCCTACAAGAATGAATATTGTTTTATATATATATATATATATATATATATATATATATATATATATATATATATATATATATATATATATATATATATATATATATATATAATATAATATAATATAATATATTTTGTATATTGCTCTTAATTATTTAACTGCTATTAAAATATATAATTAATTAATCCTCTCTTGATTTATTAGGTTAAGTTTATTAAGTGAAATGAAATAGTCAGACACGTAGATTCAGGTGGTTTGAAAGACCAAAAGTTGGATTACTATTATTGTGTTTGAATTTATCTTATTACTCAAATGGCCAAATTCTGGCTGAGGAAGGTTGATAGCGCTGGCCAGTTTGTTATTTGCCAAAAGGCTTCAGTTTTTAATTTAAATCAAGTTTTACAGATTTCCCAAAGAAAATTATGATTAAGAAATTGTATTTAAAAAAAAAAAGTATATTTTCATATTTGAAGAGTTTAGATGCAAAAACCTCTAAATGCCATTTAATATTTTCTTCTAAAATTAGCATTTTTCTCCAACTCGTACACTCGTCCATACAACATGTGTGGACTCAGTGATTTTACTTTTATAGTGACAAATGCATTCTTTTCATTGCCTTTAAAGTGAAATAACTAAACATAAATAAACAAAGCTGAGAAATATGCTCATTTTACATGGCATTTAGAGGTTTTGGCATCTAAACTCTTCATTTCTTTATTCTAAGAATTTAAAATTCTAAGTTCTAATTTAAAGTATTTGTATTATTTATAAAACTGTAATATAAAACTTACAGTTTAAATGCACATGTAAATAAAGCAATTTGACAAAACGGTAGGAAATATTTTTGGTACATCAACAAGTGTAGTTATAATAACTATCGAATAAGATAATCCAGCAAATACAAGTTCTTAATATGTCCCTAAAATGTAATATGTATACCCCAATTAAACAGAAAATCAGGTGAATAACTGCAAAAAGATTCAGTTTTTTTAGAAAACAAGTAAGACCTCCTTTCAATAAGCTGGCTATACAGGCCTGAAAGTGTAATGTTAAAATAATGTTTATTAACTGATAAAGAGAGAGTTTAATAAAGACTTTTGTTTATTTTTCGTACAAATTAAACATGTCTCATATAGTATTATTAAAAGATGGAACACAGGCTGTTTTTCTGACAAATTGTTTCAACCAAAACTAGAGATGTTACTAAGAGATAGAAAAACTGGCAGGGTCATATATGTTTACATGTAGGTGTTTATTCTGCAGTTAGTTTTCAGGGAATATTATATATTATATTATATATTTAATATTATACATATTCACTATATCAGTGAATGGAATATATAAGTTGCTAAGTTTGTTTTGTTTTGCTTTATTTTCATATCGGTATTGTGCAACCCATTTGTAAAAGCAGTGAGGTACTTAAGGCGTGCGGTATTGCAAATAATTCACTCCTGAAGGGGTTTCAGACATTTGGTCAGAACTACAGTATGTACTGTAATGTACTGTACAATGTTGCATTTATTCAACTTGTTATAAATCGCACTATTGACCCTCCACTGCACTTATTTTGATGGTAAATAATAATAAATCATATTTTGGTTCATTTCGGATAATTTTACTGAAAGCAGATTTATAAATAATAATTATTATAAACAATATTGAGATAGAATATCAAAAGTATTTTTAATTGCCTGTTGCAGAAATCAGAGAAAAGTATTAATATAAGACACAACCAAAAGAGCTATACAAAACTTACGAAAATACAAAAAAGTACACATTGTTTTTAATTGTCAAACAAATATTGCATTTCTTCCTCTTAATGCCCTATTTATTTGACATTTTATTGTTTATGTAAAATGTACAATACATTTATTCAACTTGTAATGAATAAACACCCTATTAACCCTCTGATGCAAACATGTTGATGGTAGATATTATATGTTGATTAATTTGGGATCTGATAGAACATGAAAAATAAAATAAAATAAAAATAAAAATAGTAATATAGAATATCCAGAATATTCTTCATTACCCGAAGCACAAATCACAGAGAAAATTTTAAAATACACACCCATAACACAAAACCCAAAAAAAGCAACACAATTTTTTTTTGGTATTGACACAAAATAATAATAATAATAAAAAATGTGATTATCAAAAAAATGATTAAAATCTGTGTGAGACGGAAGTTGCTGTGTCTGATTATATATTTCCAACTAAAGGGGAATATTGAGTCGGGGGCGGGGTATTATTTTTGTGCTCGTCCTCTTATTTTTCATTTGCGGCAAACTAATGGTTAGGGGTGAGCATTTTTCATCTAATCTGTAAAACTGACATCATCTAGAAGGACTGCCGTTCCAGAGTGGAAACAGATTTTGATTATACCATACCAAATAGTGTGTTTTTTTTCTCAGTGTATTACAGTTTTTCTCCATTGGTTTGGCTCATTTCTTGAAACAGAAACTACATTCTCAAATCAACATGGACAAACCTCCAAACCACTTGGCAGCTGTTCAAAACAGAATTGAATTTCTCATTCATTTCATCAAATTGCAAATGTCTAAGTGCATCTTTGCAAATGATTAAGTACAGATAGCCTACATTTAGCACAATTTCCAAGTAAATAGATCATGTGTATCTAAACTGATTGTTGATTCTCAGTCTAATGGTTGTTCTCTGCAAAATGTGTCAGCGTCGTTTCATTGTATATGTCATTACACGCACAATAGTCTGTTCAATAGTCAAAATTAGTCAAGACCATAATACCATGAATACCATACAGTAGGTGAATCCTTGGAACATTTGATCATTGTAGGGGACAGTTGCGGCATTCACGCCGTTTCTTCCCTCGTTGCATCGCAAGGGAATATATACGCTGTGATGTGGACGGGAATCTGTGGCCACACAGACTGCAGCATGTGGATGGTCAGGAGGGTGAGGACAGCGGGCAGTGAAGAACTGTTAAGAAACTCCAGCTTTATTTATAGCACTCTAGTTTTATGTTTGTGTGTTTATATTACAGTTTATTATGCTGTATACAGTTTCGTTTTGCTCTGATTTACGCAAGTTACTTTGTGTGTGGTTGATCGTTACAATAAAAAAAAAATAGTTACCATTTCCTTGGCAGTATGAGTGCAATGTGTGACGTCAAACCTTGGAAGCTACTCTTTCCCTAAAATCCAATTTTTTCAGTTTTATACAGTTGTATTCTGTTAGCTATATAAAACAGTACAGTAACCATTGTCAATGAAGGACTGGGCTAAGACTGTAAGGTGCACATGAGGGATATTTTAGTAATCCTTTGCCATAATGACAAAACATCTAAACATTTTTGAATTGCAGTGCTCACACAATGCTAAAGGGACGAAGCATTTTGGTGGCACTGACTGTTTAAATGAGAAGAAAATATAGTATGAGTGAACTGTTTTGGGAAAGGTATGAGCTGTTGCAGTTAAACCATGGTGTTGTGCCGACCATCCACATTATTTTGGCAAAAGCAACAAGAGTGTTGAGAATGTCCACTCTGTTTCAAGAAATAAGCCAAACCAATTAAGAAGGATTTTTGTGGCACTGACTTTTTATATGGGAAAGGAATTTAGTTTTGATGCATGAGTGAACTGTTTTGGGAGAGGTATGAGCTTTTGCAAGTGAGCTATAGTGTTGTGCTAAACTGTAACACTGTTTTGCCAAATGATCTTAGAATTTTGAGAATGTAATTTCTGTTTCAAGAAATGAGCCAAACCAATGGAGAAAAACTGTAACTGATTAATTGTTCGCATAAAGACTAACAATTTGTAGTAGTAAAATGAACATTGTACATTTTGAGTTCATGCAGACTTTAAGCAAGCAGATAATCTTGCTTTCTTCCTCTCACACCATGTGCACATTGAATCACATATCAGAAATCAAGGTGCCAAATGCTGCATGATAGTGACCATCACACCTTATTACACTGTTCTTTTGATGATTGTTGACCATGCTAATACAATCACTTGAGGAAACATACTGAAAACAGGCCCAGTGTAGTGTAGTGGGTTACATTATAAATCTAGACTAGGATTATTTTCAACATTTGTAATAAAAATGCATTTAAAACATATGAAACAATAAAAAAATTCATCCACCATGTTGTTTTCCAATACAGATGTGCAGAATTTTAAATTTTAAAGTTTGTCGCATTTTGCATTGCTTGCCTGATGTGATCAATTCCACTGTTCAGAGAAAAACACAAGTTTTCGTTTTTTTCTTGGAGGCATCACGTTTTTTGCGTTCATCTCTATCTGTGGATAATTAAGTGTTAAACCTTAAACAGTTAGCTAATGTGGCATAAGTAATAAGATATCTAATTTAAACAAAGTATACTCATTTACTTACTATGATCATTTCTACCAGACCGGACATCTGGGGAGGATGTGTCCTGCTTGCGGCTTGAATTGTCATCAGCTACTTTTTGGTTTTTCTTTGAAGAACGGTTCCTACGTTGCTGCAGCAATTTTTTCTAGCGAGTAAAAAATAAATAAAAAATAGAAGAACACTATCAGCATGTTATCAAAATTAATGGTGCAGAATCATAAAACTTTCCACAAACTTGAGGTGCTCATAAGCAAACGTCGAAAGGAATATATGAATATATGTAGGAAAGTTATGATCAGTAAATCAATAAAATCTAGCTGACATAAAAAAGCTGACATGTAATACTGAAATGAGAACATACATTTGATTTTATCCACACTGCAGCTTCTTTATAAGCCTCCTCATTTTTTTTACAGGCAAGCAAGCCTTTACCATCGTAGAACAGACAGTCAAGAACAAGCGTATTCTCCCTTTCCACAAATGTACTGCTTTTTGACACAACAGCCTCCTTCTCAAGTGTTTGATGAAGCACCACTAAAATGGTCGGCTTATCGACTATAGACAAAAATATAAAAAACGATTGTGAGTAGGCCCTATATGTAGCAGTACATATGAAAAAAACATTTCCGTTTTTAATTACTACTAATGTAATATATTCGCAAAGACATTTTTTACCTTTAATATTCTTGAGTGTTGCATCAATGTTAGTTTTAGTGTCAGAAACTACTGGACAGAAAGCCAGGTAAACATCACTGGGCGTTTCTCTTGTCTTTTTGCGATGTCCCTCCTCAGGGTTTTTTAATCTAACATTTTTTATCTTCTTCTTTAGATTTTTCTTGAATTCTTGAGCTGTTTGTTCCACATTTTCAGGTGTTACGATTGTATAAAAAACTGTAAAGAAGAAAAAAAATATACAGGTTAGTCTCAATCTTCTAAGAAACAGTCTTAAAAAATAAACCCTTCAAAACTGTGTTTTAAATATTATGTTTGCTACGTTTAAAAGAATGAAAACAATTTTCAGTACACACCCTGTTAAACATCATAAATAGATAATGACAGGTAGTCAATCTGTGAGCAACTTGCATTTTTTGCTGATATGATAATATAATCCAGATGCAGCTTTTCGTCAAACAGCAACCCCTTGCAATATGGATTGTATTATACAAGCCTACTGCTTTTATGGATAATTCATCCAACAATAAAATTCAGTCCTACATCATACTGATGTATGTGTTGTTATACCACTGACTGACTGGCTGACTTATGTACATAGGCTACTCACAAAAGCCATTCAATTTCAGTGTGTAGGGAAATAAAAATGACTTTTCTCCAGGGATGAAAGAAAGTCAACAGGTTTTGAATATCATGAGTTTGAAAATTGTAACAGCTTTATTTTTCAGTTGAATTATTGCTGGCTGACAAGTCGATAATAATAAAAATATATATTAATAATAGCATGATTATAACAAATATGTGACTTACTTCTACTCAACATTATATTCTGAAGTGAAGGGATAAAAAACGTTCGCTGTTAAGAAAACAAGAGATGGTAATTATTAAAAACAATACAGGCCTGTGACAAAAGCAATTTTTAAAGCTAGTATTGTTCCAACTATAATGGTCTGCAAATCTTTAAATACTCGGTAACACTTTACAATAACATAACATGAATAATGATGCATTAATATGTAAACTAAACATTAGTTTATTATGAATAATGATGAGTTAAGGTCTGTACTAATCATGAATTAACTTTAACTTGAGTCACATGAGTTCATGTGTGAATGACGGCTACCTTAATTACTTGTTAGTACATGATTGTTTGTTAATTAATGTATTAATTACCACATTAGTTTATGCTTAATTTAACCATGATGAACTCATGATATGTTATGTATAATTATGTTGTGACTTTACGGGGGGGGGGGGGGGGGGGGCACATCATCATTAACCTATTCTTAACTACTCATGAACTCCTTATGCACGTCCAACTAGTGAGTTTACACTGAATAACAATAGAAAAGTGGTCTGTCAACATTAACATGAACAGGAGGTAATCAGTAGTTTAGGATGAGTTAATAGTGATGTGCCCCTCCAAGTAAAGTCATGACATAACTATACATTAACAGCTCATGAGTTCATATTGGTTATTTAGCTTAGACTTAAATAAATACATTAATTAACAACATGTACTAACAAGTAATTAAGGTAGTAGTTATTTACGCATGATTTCATGTGACTCATGTTGTAGTTAAAGTTAATTCATGATTAGTGCATTCCTTAACTCATCATTAATTCATAATAAAGTAATGTTTAGTTTACATATTAATGCATCATTACTCATGTACTGTTATTGTGAAGTGTTACCAAATTCTCTTTACCTGTTTGTTAAATTTGTCTTACCTTATATCTTGAGTAGCCTACAGTTGTTCCTAGAAATCTTACTGAACAAAGGTTGATCACCTTAACGCCACACTTAACCAAGGAAGGGGTTGAGGTTGAAAGAATAAGAAAGTGAAAGCAAATTTATAATCTAGGCCACAGGCGACAAACTCAGTTCCTGAAGAGACGGAGCTCTGCGCAGTTGAGTTTCAGCCACACCTGATCAAACTGGAGTCCTTTTGTCTTCTTTGAACTAAATTTGACACCCCTAATCTACGCCATACTTCTTTAAAAAAATCAGACAAGTCACAAAAAAAAGGTGACAAAATTAATCTGTTATAAATATTTGTGTGCTTTAACAGTCCATGGTGTTACAAGAAGTTCTAATATCCAAATGACATGAAAACTAGCTAGCTAAAGATTGTAGCTACAGGCGATGCAGTCAACGCCAAATAAAAAAATTAAAAAAATGGAATTAGGACACTCCTAGATCCTAGAGTAAATCTAGTCTTGTAACTGTAGATGGCGCTTTGCTCTTCAGCTTTAGGCCCCGTTTACACTAATGCTTTTTAGTTTCAAAACACAAGTTTTGCTACGGTTACCCCATTCGTCCACAATACGCCGGAGTTTTCGAGCGCTGAAAATGGAGCGTTTCGAAAACGCTGGAGAGGCTGTTTTCATTCTAAAGGTGCTTTCACACCTGTGAATCGGTTCAGTTGTTCTGAAACAGAGATAACAATTGTTACATTGTTGCTCTTTGCTCTTAGAGCGGTTCGCTTTCACACTGCAAAGTTTCTAATCGGACCAAAAGAGCTAAAACAAGTCACGTGTGAGTAAACTCTCCTCACATTAGTCAGTGTCGGGGTTTATTTTGCAGAGTACTGCTCAGCTGTCAGGAGAGATGGTGGTTTGGTGGTGTTTGACAAGGTGCGCGCGCGCGACGTGCCTGAAGAGTGAGGAGAGATGCGGTGGGGAGGGGTAGGAAGAGTGTTTGAAGTAGCCTATTTGAGGACCGGAAGGAGACGCGAGATTACCTGGAGACCATCACTCGTTTGTGGGCATCCGGAGACTTGTGAAACTTTCCGCCCTACTCATACTTCTCTCTTCATATAGCCGTATACATATCCATAAAACACAGTGATATAACGGCGCTCGGATCGTTTGCTTTCTCACTGCAATCGAAGCTTTAAACGCTGCTGCTCCGTCTCAGTGTGGATGGAGGAAAACGGAGACATCTGAAAACGGAGGCGGTGCTGTGATTGGGGCTTTTCCTCAATATTAAATAGCCTAACACACACAGTTCAGTCCTGCATTCTCTCCCTGTAAGTTCAGACTTCGCAAGTTTGATATGGAAAACAGAGCCTCGAGGACATGTCCGGTAAATCTTCAAAGGGAACAGTGTACTTTATAACCTTATTCACATCATCCTGGCTACGTTGTTTCACTTTCTCAACAATAAAATGAAAACATGATTTAAGGAACTTTGAAGGAATTTTCATTTTGATATGAACAACTTAACAGACAGCAGAAATGCTGAGGTGTCGTGCTGCATCTTCACTGTATGCAAATTTTTAATAAAACGGAGCCTAACAACACTGCCTCTTTTCATTTTCCTTGAAAATACGAAACGTATCCTCTGCTTTGCTGAATGTCAGTTTTAATAATCAATAATAGCCATTATGAAAGTATAACGCACAATAAGTGTGGACGCTGTGGAAGCGGATCGTTTTCATTCTAAAACGCCATTTTAAAACTAAAACGCACTAGTGTTAACAGGGCCTTAGTCCACGTGTTCTTTCCAGTATTTCTCTTCAAAATCGGAAATCTGTTAAAATGACCTTGACAACACAATGATACATTATCACCATCTACATGACAAACACGTGTCTGTGAATAAAACAAAGAAAAGAATTGCTTGGAATGTTTATCATTTCCATATCTAATATTTACCATAACTTCTGATGGTCTTCATCTTCTCAAGCAGTGCCTGTATAACGTTTTTGCTATTTCTGGATACAGTAACTTCATGTAGGCTACTGATTTATTGTGCAATTCTTTCAATGCAACTCTTTATCAAGATTAACTTTACTGTAGTTTACTTTAAAATAAAATTAATTAATAAATGAAAAAAGATTTAGGTGAGTTTTTAAAGCATTCATTTTAAACATAAACACAGTTAAACATAACTCATTTTCTGCTTCATTGTCCTAAGCGAGACATTTAGAGAGAAACATGAAAGCCAATATTACCTGTCTCGCATTCGTTTTACGGGTTCTGGCGCCCTCTTCCTGTTATGTTTTAAAGTCCGCTTATCGAAGTTGTTGCTTTTAAAGGAAAAAAACAACTACAAACTTACCTTACCCAAAGAGCATATAATCCCCATTCTAAGCTCTTTGCTTTACCGGTATCATCAAGTGTCCTCGCTTTTATTTGAAATATTGCCATGACCACAATGTTTGGATTTTTTTTTCCAAAATATTTTTTTTTCCAAAATATTTCACGCTAGCATGTGGTGAACAGAAGAAAACAAAAGAAGAAATCGTTATTCAGGTAAATCGGTTCTTATCTTATTTTACGGCAAATCTTTTTGGCGTTGTTATATTTTAGTCTAAGACCTTTATGTTTATTGTTTTTGTTTGTTTTTCATTTAAAAAGTTAAAAGCTAGTTTAGTTTAAAACCTAGCTTGCTGTCATTTTTTCATTATTTATCATTAATATTACAAACGCTTAGTAGCGTATATTTAATGTGTTTTACTGACTAGTCCTGTGTAAATGTTGATACCGTGTCACAAAGACATGAGCGACCATTAAGTTATATGTTATTATTACCATATTATTTACTGTAGGGATGGAAGCAGGAGGTTCTCTGTCACAGTGGCTGAACTCTGATATTTTCATCGTGTTTGTGGTGTTGCTGTTGCTGCTGTTGCTGGTCATCTTTGCAGTGTGCTGGCTTATGAGACGACAAAACACACAGAGACCCCCAGAGTACTAAAACACCCACTCTGCACCTCACTTTAATTTCCATTTCCATTGAACACTGGTCCCACACATTTCTGTAATTTAAAGGGATAGTTCATCCAAAAAATGTTTACTCGCCTTCATATGGTCAAGTGAATGGCAAATAAGTGATGACAGAATTTTCAGAATTTTAATTTTGTGGTGAATTAATTAATTATTTTTCTTACAGCATTGATTGGCATAATTGGGTAATTCTTTAACTACAGGCACTTTTATGTCCTTTAATATATATATATGTCCTTTAAATATATATATACTTGTAGTTAAAGAATTACCCAATTATGCCAATCAATTATATATATATATATATATATATAATTTTGTTCAAATTCCGCTTTTTTGTCAAAATTTATTACCTTTCTATTATATTTTGTCATATTATTCATCCTCCTTTTAGGTGTCAAAATTACTGTTTTGCCTTGTCGCACACCTAGAGTTTTAAAGTTCAACAATGAAAATAAAATTTCAATCAATCAAATATTATTTATCTGGTAACTACTAATGTATTTTAATTAAGCGCTAGTGAAATAATTAAAATATTTTATAGTTATTAATGTGAGACTATTATCAATATAATTTTTAAACAAAATATAGCTGTCGCACAGTATCAGTGTCATTTCCACCACAGCTCTATAATGGCGCTTTAAAAAGATTATTTTGGTGGTTTTTATGAAAAGGAATAGTGACATCCGAGCACATGATCAAGATCGAAAGAAAAAAATGTTCATTAACAACACATGAAGAAAAAATATGCTAAACATTTCTTGACAAGGTCATACATTTATCCTATGTCATTTCCAAACATGCTGTACCTTCAAAGGTGTTTTTAAAAAACAAACTAAATTAAGGTAAATAATGGTATTTTGTATAAATGAAATGATAGTATCAATTCAAAGCTGATCAGTGAAGCTATCTTTAATTTCTTCTCAATAAACTGTAGAAATGTCATTTCCACCAATGACATTTATGGTAATCAACACAATTGATCTGGAAAAAGTACAAGGGTTAGACAATGAAACTAAAACAATGGCCAATTTAGTGTTGGAGGTTTCATGGCTTAATTTGAGCAGCTGGTGGCCAGTCTTCATTGATTTTCATTCCACCAGTAAGAGCAGAGTGTGAAGGTTTTAGCAGAGTAATAGCAGAGTTTTGCTGAAAAGATTGCAATGCACACAACATTATGTCATATGATGGCATATCAGAGTTTGAAAGAGAATAAATTGTTGGTGTGTGTCTTGCTGGGGATGTTCAGGTGCTAACACCAATTGTTTCCAAAAAAAAAAAAACATGAAACCACAGCTGCCCAACTCACTGCAGAATTATATGCAACTCAACTCTCCTGTTCCCACTAAAACTGTTGGTCAGGAGCTCCACAGGGTCCATTTACATGCCGGGCTGCTATAGCAAAACGTTGCCTATTCATGCCAGTGCCAAAATGCAATGGGTTGTGGACAATGTGGAACATGTATTGTTCTCTAATGAGTCCACCTTTGCTGTCTTTCCCACATCTGTGAGAGTTACGGTGTGGAGAAGGTCCAAGGACTACCGAACTGTTCTGAAGGATCATGTGCACCCAATGGTTCAAATATTGTATCCTGAAGGCAGTGGGGTGTATCAGGATAATAAAACACACAGCAGGACTGGTGACAGAGTGGTTTGATGAACATGAAATTGAAGTTGAACGTCTCCCATGGCCTGCACAGTCACTAGAGCTGAATATTATTGAACACTTTGGGGTATTTTGGGGGTATGAGTCAGTAAATGTTTTACTCCAGCAGCATCACATAGTGACTTAAACACTATTCTGCAAGAAGATCAGCTCAAAATCCCTCTGGCTGCTGTGAGAGACTTGTATCTGTCATTCCCGAGGTGAAATGATGGTATATTATCCGCAAAAGGAGGCCTGACACCATACTGATGAAATATTCATTCATTCATTTTCTTTTCAGCTTAGTCCCTTTATTCATCAGGGGTCGCCACAGTGGAATGAATTGCCAACTTTTCCAGCATATGTTTCACGCAGTGAATGCCCTTCCAGCTGCAACCCATCACTGGGAAACACCCATACACTCTCAATTACACACATACACTACGGACAATTTAGCTTACCCAGCCAAGGCTCAAACCAGCGACCCTCTTGCTGTGAGGTGACAGCGCTACCCACTGCACCACCATGCCACCTGACTAATGAATTATTGTGCTCTAAAACCAAGCCTTAGCTCCTAACTAAATTAATATTAAATTTTAGAGTGTGGCAGGTGT